GGAGTATATGTCGTAGTTGTATGCCCTGACGTAATAGATGCACGATAGTCTCCTCACATGCTGCTGCTGAAGATGCCGTGATGAGGCAGATACTGGCGCCGTATGCCGCAGTCCTAGAGTTGTAAGTACGGATCGAAATAAGAAATTGCGTTCAGACAAATAAATCCCCCCACCTTCTGCACGTTGATTACAGACGTGTGAACCCTATATCACCAAATTTATCCCTGCTCCATGTATTCATCTATTTAGAGAATTTCGGAAAAAGGAAAACATGTTTCCAGTTGGTTCAGGGTTGTTGAAGTTCGGGGCACGATCGATAAGCCTGTAATTAAAATCGAATAAATGATTCACAACTGCAGATGAACATCATCTATAACCATCGACTTGAGGTGCAATTTTGTCGTATCGATGACTAACCCCGAAATGAGATATGATATCACTACATGTTTAATAAGCCCGTGAAGCCCCTGCAATAAAACTGAAGGGTTTCGATTAATTATGGGAAAATTTATGAACTGGCGCCAGGAAAAGATCGTAAAAGGCTGATCGTCAGTGAGGCTTGGCTGGGTGGTCAGTGATATTCACCAGCAGGAGCCCGACTGGGTAATTTGACTGGCCACTTCGTGCACACTTAATTCAAATATAATGCTTGATGTAGTGGGCCTGCCATGCGCCGAGGGGAGGACAGCTTGATAAGAAACAGGTTCCGAGATTAAATGTGGAGCTTCGTTTTATACCATATAATTGATATGACGATGATCAGGCGAAATGAGACCGGCTGTTGTTTGTTGCACCGTCATTCTGTAAACGTTTAAATATTCACAATTTGAAGTTAATATCGAACATTTGTACGTATTCGTGTACGTACATTACTAAACACCATTAGTATCATTAACATAAGCATGGTTTAACCATATACAATGTTGTAGCCCTGTTGTCCAGACAAGTCAACGTATTGTTAATATATAAGGCATCCTTGGATCAGTAAATATGCTGTGAGGCCAAAATCGATGTGAAGAATACAGGTTTGTACAATCCTCAGACATCGCTTCCAGCGTTCCATTACCTCCAGAATATGTCTTTATTGGCTGCAGAATCTGTCAGACCGAAGGAACCTCTGACCTGTAGTCGCCGACGGCTGGCCCTGGAATGGGAATATTGGTGCCTTGGTTTAGTGGCATTGGACAAATATTGGCGTGTTGGTGTCCGAGCTATTTAAAGGTGTACTGGCCTGGTTGGTATTGCACAATACCGCCGTGGCCAACTGATAGCAATATTGTACAATACTACCGATTGAATACATACTGCATACAAACAACTATCATGCTATTAATTCGCACGACTTGACCCAGATGTATGCTTGTCATATCTATATCATTATTGAAACCATTTACGTTGAAATGGTGATTACTCGTAATTGATTAGCTATAGATACCAGGTATGTCCATACAAAACTGTTTCCTTAAGCCGAAGGTGGGTATTTGTCGAAATTACTATATACGGTTTATCTGAAATCTGAAATTCAGCGGCAGTAGTCTTCTCTGGTGACAACAGTCAACACATAAATGTTTGTTTTGGGCAATGGTCACTCGGTTCCAAATATAAACTATAAATAACTTTTCTAGCCAGATCAGTTTAATTATATTACTGAAGGAATAGTATCAGTGAACACAGAGGTTACGTGAAATTCAACGTCATTATTCTTTCAAAGGTTTTATAGAGGTATCTGCACATGAACTGACACGTCGACAGAATACTGAACTTGAAACCTATGTCATCCCTGTCTTCAGTATCACCGAATGTCCGGGAGAATTGGATTAGCTTTCTGGAAAGAACCAATCGGGCACAAGTAATTTTTTAAAGCTACTACCGCCCGTTGTTTCTTACCAACGACATATCTTGTACGTAAGGCTATAACAATACATCTATTTCTGTTGACAGAGCAATCTGTGTAAACTGATCTTTCTGTTGTCTTGAGCACGAATGCAACCAGCTGTGCTGGGCTGTACCTCATCGGCAGCACCACATACAGCAATAGCCTTACATACATCTTCAGGCGAACTCTTGCAGCGCAATATAGATTACCTTTTTGCATAATTCCCCAGGGATTGGTAATGATGGTCTAGTATTGGAAAACAGTTCTTTGATGACGATGCGCTGGCTGATTTATCAACGTGTGGTGATATGAGCTGTAACGTCAAGACTGCAATAAGACCAGAACTAACACAACAAGGGATGGGTTTGTCTCTATTTATGGAGACAAGGACACAATGTTTAAGCTTTTGAAGCCTACCAATGCTTAGAAGATGTCTGATAAGACAGGAAATATGCGCAGTGCATCGGAACAGACTAACAATGCCTTCGTTGGTTCATAACAGCAGAGATTAACTTTGATCTTGCAGGGCATGTTAAGTGAATTAAGTGTGTTTTAGACATCACGTGAACTATTCATGGGTTTATTCCATTAGAGGTCGACTTGTTTATGTCTTTTAGAAATATATTTTCATCAATAAGCTCGGAAGAATTCATACCAGTTTTAATATGTTTTCATTCAAATAGCATCTTCGATTTAATGCTTAAATCGTGTTTCATGCTCACAGGGCACGTTCATCCTGGTGCATTAAGAATGAGGAGCTTTCAGCGGCTCGAAATAAGATTAAATAAAAAACTTTTTAAAAATTGTCATCGGGGTTTTAAGAAATAACGCATGGTCGAGCACTGAAGATTTACTCAGAAATGTACGCAGAAACCTATCTGATGAAGCACATCAGTGTTAAATGTGCCTCGTGACTCTCTTAGTTCATATTATCAAATGCCTTTATTGTTGGGCTACAGGCCAACTTCCCCATACCAAGCCAATCAGTTACAACGACATACCAAAGTCCTATCGGGCATGAGAATTACCTTCTCCTAAAATGTGCCGTGACGCAATAATCCAGACAGGTCCACAACAACCGCTGAAGCAATCGGAATGAAACGAGATGAAATGATATCATGATGGCTCCCATCTCAGAAATAATCAACCAATTTATGATTATAGAATCAAATTTAAGAGCGATGCAATAAATATTATCCAATGCAATCTTTTCAGTTGTAACATCAACGAGGATGAATGTGTGCGTAGTTATACACGGAATAGCTAACAGATATAACAGTATTTGGTCTTTCTGCATTGGCCGTGGAAAAGTCCGATGCATAACCCACAATACGCCATACCATAAAAACATTCTGATGGGTAAACATAATTTACAATTAATGTACAGAAGATGGCCATAAAACGCAAGCAATTAGCGTGTGGGACGGCCGGATTGAGTTATTCACCACTCGCCTGGTGGCTGACCTCATTTGTACTCATTCGGTGGGAAATTTGGAATACATTATTCATAATCGCCACTGTTACACAATGATTAATCTTAAATTTAGCACGACAACGACTATTCAGATTATTTTTACAAAATTTCATATTTTTATAGTTTGAAGTGAATATTATCAAACCTATTTTACCAAACGCAAACTATAAACTTATTAAATTAATATATCTGTTATTATGCAACTGTTTACCTGCATTTCGTCAAAGAGTGAGTGAGGTTTTACGCCGCTTTTAGAATTATTCCAGCAATAACATGGCGATAAACACCAGAAATGGGCTTCACACAATGTACCCATTTTGGGAATCGACCCCTGGTCTTCGGCGAGACGAGCGAACGCTTTAATCCCTAGGCTACCCCAACCATCCCTTTTTCCTCAAAGAACCTATTGGTATATGTAATTGTTGATCTACAAGTGCCTGTTGCAAGACGACTGTTAATCTAGTTTCCCTGGAGAGTATTGTTATAATATAATAAGTGATGGGTTGTGCCTTCAGTTCCTTATTATCAGCATGCTGCTAGACACTCAAGTAGGTATTGTCATACTATAGCCATTACATCAAAGCACAGTTACTGAGTTGTTCCCCAAACTCTGAATTGTCACAGCTGTTAAAAGGCACTCGTGTAATTGTTATCACAATTATTAATCAATAACAATTTGATTTATTAAACACCAACAAAACTGCTGAACTGATTGGACAAAACCCACTGCAATTGGTGAGAAGTCTAAATTGTGACGGAGCACCGTCCTCATGATTCACCCGTGATTGTTGTGTATACAATCAGAGGGACATGATGATGGATTAAGTACCCCTGTATTTACCTCAATAAATCCGGGCCATGGAATATTGATGAAGAAAATGTAGGCATCGCGTGCAAATTGTCAGTAACTCATCTGCTATCGCAGTGTTGTCAAACATGACGGACAAGACAGCCATTTGCCTTGTATGACAACTGTCACTATGGTGAAGACGAGAGGTGTAATTATCCCACCACTGCCCTAACCCTACCAGCATGCTTTCACCTTTAGGGATTTAATAAGGGCTTAGCTTAAGCTGATGGTACAAATGTACACAGGTGCCCCTGGGTATTGCTCGCCAATACCGCCACTGCAGACTTTTTGCATCAATGGTGTATATTTATTCACAGTACCGGAAGTGACGTAAACACGGTGGTATAAGGGGGCATTATCAAGTCTGGCAACCATCTTGATAGACCTGCTTCCGGTGTTTCAAGTGTTTAAGGAGGCACTTGTAACACGGGGATGGATTGTGTCGACACGACAGCCAGGTGCGCCACACAATTGACTGCGGCCATTATTCACCATGGTGTACAGTGGAATCTCGTCAACACGACATACATACTGACCAACTGGCTTTACAAAGAATGCGTATGACTCATCACTCTGTAAAACTCACTCTTAAAAATAATATTTACGCCTAGTGAGATGTTCAAAAGCCGTTCTGCACCCTAGATCGTGTTTATACATGTATATCGATCTAAGTTTTACTAAAACTCCTTTGTCTATTCTATATGCCCTTTGTCTTATTCGGTGTTCTACACACTCTTATGTCAAGTTGCCCCAAAGGAGTTGACTGAGATCTAGGCGGAAGAACCAGACAAGACGATGTATGATAACAACTGGGTTTATACCATAATCGACTACCGTTTGGCACAGTTTTCAATCTCACAGCCTTTCATAGCTCTAAGTATACATTGGTCGGCTCTAAGTGACATTCACAAACAAGTCAAAATTAACAAAGGACACAGCTGGAATGATAGGAGGAAAGGAGAAGAACACACACAATACTCACAGAATAATCAATAAACCATTAACGAATAGTAAGAATATAGTTGGAATGGTTGTATGTCTCCAATAGGGACGACATCGTATTCATGGTTCGTGTCTCAAATGAAGATAACACACGGTAATAGTCAGTGTTTGCAGTCAAATGAATACAGATTTTCCAGATTGTGAATCGTACTATGACGAGACGGAAAAACTAACGTGATTTGCAATTAGAGGTGATCGATACTGTCTTGGCTATCACGTCGATAAGATTCCCAGATCGCCATTGATTGGTGGGCTTACGAGGAGCACCAAGCGAAGATGGATCAAGTTTGAGTTTGGTGATTTTGATTACGACATGTGTACCGCCTGGTACACTCTTGATGAACACCAGGAGCTAAGCAAACATATACAAACTTGCTATAATAGAAAATATCTATTTTCTGTCGACGAATAAAGTATATGTCAAAAGTCCCTTAGTAGATGGAAGATTGATGAAGCACAACGACTGGAGCCCATGTTGGGCGCCATAACAATGTCTCGGATGTCAATGATGGTCAACACAAACTGTCGACAAAAATAACTTGTCTCTGTCTGTAGATGAGCAATGGAATGATACGCGCACAGTAGACGGAGCAGCAGAGGACTGGGCCCCGTTTGGCCGGTAGAAGCACTGCTTGTGCACAACATTTCTGGCGATGAGTACAAGCACAACACCATGCAGGTATCCGGACATGCTTCTATTGGCAGGCACGCTTTCTATAACACAACAGTCCCAATCTTATTAAAGTGACGCAAATTGTATGTCCGCATCAACAGTTGTAAATTGTTGGTATTGGGTGATTTATGCTTTTCTGGAAACAGACAACTAGTTGTCCTATTTGTACCAGGTTCGAATCCTGTATTTGGTGAATACAGGCTGGGAAAGTTTACGTGTCCTGCAGTCTGAATAGGTAGACATGACCTCCATGGTGTGGGAAGCTGTAGCCGGTTCTGTCCAGGTTGAAAGCTTACATATCAATAATGCCGATACGAGAGGCGGAATTGTTTAACACGTCTTCAGTAGAGCATGGCGAATCAATAGCCTCTTCTCTTGACCATGGCAAAGTGTGTGAGCTGAAGCCCCCCTGCCTTCTTATCCCCACGCTCTAGTGTCCCGGTCACACAGTATCCCAACTGAAAGTCCGCCTGACTCACATTCGTCGTTAGATGCATCCGGAAATCGGGCTGGGGCTGTTCCTTGAACTTGCCTTGGATCATCATTGTTCCGTTACCTTTGTCAACCATCTTGCCTTTCGTCGTGGACTTCTTGGAACCTATCACTTCCACAATTTTACACTTGGATCGACTCCACCAGTAAGTTTTAAGTGTCCAGTAGGAGATGAGAGCAGGCTGGGCCCACCCTTCGTAAGGAAACAGCAAGACCTTGGTGGGGTAGCCCTCGTAGTTGAACACCTTCCGGCAGCATTTCCCCCGGGTCTCGTAGTAGAACAGTTGAACCATTGTTGTTTGGTCTCCTGGACTCCTCCTGGTCGGCTCACATCATTCTGAAACAAAGATCAGGCAGCATTAGCCATAAGACGTCGTCATAAGCCGATCATATTCAAGACAATCTCGACACATGAGATGACTCATGAATTAAGAATAACTCATCGATTGAAAACCGATCTACAACCTTAAAGATATTCGAACTGTCGCCGACCTGAAGGCCCTAACACCATGGAGCGTGTATCCGGCTGTGTGTATGAAGGAAGGTGAACGGCTTTAGTACCGATATATAAGAGAAATAAAAGACAACACTTGTATCTGTATATAAGAGAGATGGGCCATATATATATACGGAACATACATGTGTAAAACGGAGATGAAACATATCTGTATATAAATCGGGTGGTGCACGGTATTTGTGTATGTAACAAATATTGAACACGACACTGATATATGTATGGAAGGAACACGACCACAGCATGTATAGGGAGAGATGGGCACTAAGATTTACATGTATGAAGGAGGGAAACGCCAAAAGCAGCGGCCAAAACGTATTGTATGTAAGAAAGAATGTGTAGTCTATCTGTATATAAGAAAGAAGGAACACGGAAATTGCATTTGTATTTAAGAAGTATGGAACAGGGCAATAACACGACAACAGTATGTGTATCTAAAAAGAATGGAACACGGTAATAACATGACAACAGTATGTGTATCTAAGAAGAATGGAACACGGTAATAACATGACAATAGTATGTGTATCTAAAAAGAATGGAACACGGTAATAACATGACAACAGTATGTGTATCTAAGAAGAATGGAACACGGTAATAACACGACAATAGTATGTGTATCTAAGAAGAATGGAACACTGCAATAACACGACAACAGTATGTGTATCTAAGAAGTATGGAACACTGCAATAACATGACAATAGTATGTGTATCTAAGAAGAATGGAACACTGCAATAACATGACAATAGTATGTGTATCTAAAAAGAATGGAACACGGTAATAACACGACAACAGTATGTGTATCTAAGAAGAATGGAACACGGTAATAACACGACAACAGTATGTGTATCTAAGAAGAATGGAACACTGCAATAACATGACAATAGTATGTGTATCTAAGAAGAATGGAACACGGTAATAACACGACAACAGTATGTGTATCTAAGAAGAATGGAACACTGCAATAACATGACAATAGTATGTGTATCTAAGAAGAATGGAACACTGCAATAACACGACAACAGTATGTGTATCTAAGAAGTATGGAACACTGCAATAACATGACAATAGTATGTGTATCTAAGAAGAATGGAACACTGCAATAACATGACAATAGTATGTGTATCTAAAAAGAATGGAACACGGTAATAACACGACAACAGTATGTGTATCTAAGAAGAATGGAACACGGTAATAACACGACAACAGTATGTGTATCTAAGAAGAATGGAACACTGCAATAACATGACAATAGTATGTGTATCTAAGAAGAATGGAACACGGTAATAACACGACAACAGTATGTGTATCTAAGAAGAATGGAACACGGTAATAACACGACAACAGTATGTGTATCTAAGAAGAATGGAACACGGTAATAACACGACAACAGTATGTGTATCTAAGAAGTATGGAACACGGTAATAACATGACAACAGTATGTGTATCTAAGAAGTATGGAACACTGCAATAACATGACAATAGTATGTGTATCTAAGAAGTATGGAACACGGTAATAACACGACAACAGTATGTGTATCTAAGAAGTATGGAACACTGCAATAACACGACAACAGTATGTGCATCTAAGAAGTATGGAACACTGCAATATCACGACAACAGTATGTGTATCTAAGAAGTATGGAACACGGTTATAGTATATGTATGTAAGAAGGAAGTGAGTGAGTGAGTGAGCAAGTCAATACAATAGTGACATTAGTAATAGTTCAGCCATATTGTGAATAGAATATTATCTTTACACATTATGAAAAGGAAACAGTTGACAAGGACAGTAATATATAACCAGTAGCGTATCACATGTCTTCATTTAAAGCTAGATATATAAAACATCAATTATAGAAAATGACATAATATATAATATAGTACTGCTCTCACAGGTGGCACAGAAGTCCAATTCTTGTTCTACTGATCGCTGCAGCACTAATCGCTGCAGTACTAATCGTTACAGTACTAATCGCTGCAGTACTGATCGCTGCAGCACTAATCGCTGTAGTACTAATCACTGCAGTACTTATCGCTGCAGCACTAATCGCTATAGTACTAATCGCTGTAGTACTAATCGCTGCAGTACTAATCGCTGAAACACTAATCGCTGTAGTACTTATCGCTGCAGTACTAATCGCTGCAACACTAATCGCTGTAGTACTTATCGCTGCAGCACTAATCGCTGTAGTACCTATCGCTGCAGCACTAATCGCTGTAGTACTAATCGCTGTAGTACTAATCGCTGTAGTACTAATCACTGCAGCACTAATCGCTGCAGTACTAATCGCTTCAGTACTAATCGCTGTAGTATTAATCGCTGTAGTACTAATCTCTGCAGTACTAATTACTGTAGTACAAATCAGTCTTTACAGCAGAGTACCACATTTCAACAGGATCCACATTACATTCCATGAAACAACATGACGTCATAATATAAAATGTCAGCACCCCAGAATAAGCAGTCGCGAGTATGGGCGTAAAAAGACGAACTAGTGTTGAAAACTATATGAATGGATCACTGAAAACCAGCGTCTGGTATGTCTTAGAGGGATTGACTTGTTTCACCTCGTATTTCAGCCGTATCGGCAGATATTAAGTATTAAGTATAGAATTATTACAGTTTAGTTCGAGTGGTTGGCTGCATAAACAACAATTCAAACAGTCGTCGGCACGTAAAGCATCGGGCCAGGTGATCTTTTCATCCCTGGAATGACCCGAAATGTCAACATCAAACGGCAGATAACTACCAACATTTGTTTCCATGGTAACAACTACATACGTCACCAACAACACAAATAACACAAGTTCTTCAAATTGTTTAACTGTGTCACGTACAATTGTAATTTCCCTGACCGCTGCTGAGGTCATTATTCCTCTCTACCCATTAACTTCTGACCACTAATCTGCTATCTGCTACATACACACCTACTATCTGTTGAACACACACACAACATGCTGAAACCACACCTACTATCTGCTGAACACACACACACGACCTGCTGAACACACACCTACTATCTGCTGAACACACACACTACCTGCTGAACACACACCTACTATCTGCTGAACACACACACAACCTGCTGAACAAACACCTAATATCTGCTGAACACACACACACAACCTGCTGAACACACACCTACTATCTGCTGAACACACACACACAACCTGCTGAACACTCGCCTACTATCTGCTAAACACACCCACACACACACAACCTGCCGAACACACGCCTACTATCTGCTAAACACACCCACACACAACCTGCCGAACACTCGCCTACTATATGCTAAACACACCCACACACACACAACCTGCTGAACACACACACAACCTGCTGAACACACACACAACCTGCTGAACACACACCTAATATCTGCTGAACACACACACACAACCTGCTGAACACACACCTAATATCTGCTGAACACACACACACACACAACCTGCTGAACCCACACCTAATATCTGCTGAACACACACACACAACCTGCTGAACACACACCTAATATCTGCTGAACACACACACACACAACCTGCTGAACACACACCTAATATGTGCTGAACACACACACACAACCTGCTGAACACACACACACAACCTGCTGAACACACACACACAACCTGCTGAACACACACCTAAAATATCTGCTGAACACACACACACAACCGGCTGAACACACACACACAACCTGCTGAACACACACACACAACCTGCTGAACACACACCTAAAATATCTGCTGAACACACACACACAACCTGCTGAACACACACCTAATATCTGCTGAACACACACACACAACCGGCTGAACACACACACACAACCTGCTGAACACACACACACAACCTGCTGAACACACACACACAACCTGCTGAACACACACCTACTACCTGCTGAACACACACCTACTACCTGCTGAACACACACACACAACCTGCTGAACACACACCTACTACCTGCTGAACACACACACACAACCTGCTGAACACACACCTACTACCTGCTGAACACACACCTAATATCTGCTGAACACACACACACAACCTGCTGAACACACACCTACTACCTGCTGAACACACACACACAACCTGCTGAACACACACCTACTACCTGCTGAACACACACCTACTACCTGCTGAACACACACCTACTACCTGCTGAATACACACACACACAACATGCTGAACACACACACAACCTGCTGAACACACACACAACCTGCTGAACACACACAACCCGCTGAACACACACACAACCTCCTGAACACACACCTACTACCTGCTGAACACACACACAACCTGCTGAACACAAGCCTACTATCTGCTGAACACATATTAATACAACTAAAGACACAAGTATTATGCGTAACCTGCATATCACCTGCTTAATTTAACCCATTTCAAGTGATGTCGTGGGCAAGAAACTAACATTGACAATACAGTGCATTAAGGGACTATGACAAAGAGTCTCGTCATCATCTGACAGGCCCAATACAGTGCATTAACGGACTATGACAAAGAGTCTCGTCATCATCTGACAGGCCCAATACAGTGCATGAAGGGACTATGACAAAGAGTCTCGTCATCATCTGACAGGCCCAATACAGTGCATGAAGGGACTATGACAAAGAGTCTCGTCATCATCTGACAGGCCCAATACAGTGCATTAACGGACTATGACAAAGAGTCTCGTCATCATCTGACAGGCCCAATACAGTGCATGAAGGGACTATGACAAAGAGTCTCGTCATCATCTGACAGGCCCAATACAGTGCATGAAGGGACTATGACAAAGAGTCTCGTCATCATCTGACAGGC